CAGTTCCACAGGTTTTAGTCCGAAGTTCAAAGGAACAGACTATATGTAATCAGGTGTCGAAGCTATGCTAACCCCAACGCAACCCCAAGGTGGTATGTAAACGGACCTGTAATGTCATGTCGTGTGGTGATGTCGTTTTTATTGTATTCAGACCTTTACTACAACTTTTCAAAAATGTCAACACCACATACACCGATAACATTGTACCAGACGATTACTAACGTAATCAGTGTTATCGGATAAAATTTGACACTTCATTGTCATAAGTTTGACAAAGAAATTGATAAATAATTAGAATTTGTTCTTATAATCAAATAGCTTTGATAAAGTTAGGTTTAATCATTGTTAAACATTTATTTTCGATTTACTTTCATTAGTCTTCACCTGGTGACTCATCTGCGTTTTACACAAATGAATAAATATGTCGCTGCTAGAGGTAGACTCTTGGTAAGTTTGCTCAAGGTCGGAAATATAAACAAGTTAATAGTATTTTATCAAATAGGGCGAGGGAATGCGAAGCATGCTTTGCTCTCAATGAGGCAATACTTTCAAAAATAATGCAGCGTGAAAAACGCCAAAAGAATTCCAATGAATACAGTCGTCTAACATCTGCAATACAGGGAGAGCTCAAGCAATTCGAGGGGGAAGTTAAGGAACTTAAACAGAAGCTTGAGTTATTAGAAGATGCGCAGTCAATGTACGGTTTGTGTTCTTAAATTTCATGCACCATTTAAAATTAATGGTATCATTTTTAATTCTTATGCAAAAAACTACCTTACGTTTGATATCAATACTAATCCTTACGTAGAGATTCTGAAGAGATTGTTCGCAGAAAGCAACAAGTGAATGTACTTCAAACGCAGCTGGCTCATGTGCATCGTAAATTATCTCAAGACCCGCGTTGGGAGCGTGCAGAACTGTTAGCTCAATCGCCGCCTGATTTTCCAAATAGAGCATTGAGTACAACCGAAAATGCATTCCCATCGGAAAATTTAAGCGATGTCAATATTTTGAAACAACGTCAAATCGATATATTAGAACGTCAAAATCGTGGCTTAGAAATTCTATCTCAGACAATATCAAGACAAAGAAGTCTTGCTTCCCAATTAGGGCAAGAAGTAGAGAGCCAAAATGGTACTAGTTTCAGCACCTAATAAAATGTTACTAATGTTTTTAAATTCTAAAATTTTCAGATATACTTGACAATTTGGCGGATACTATGGAAAGAGTTGATGCGCATGTACATATTGCGACGGGCAATATCAGCGAAGTAAATCGAAAAGACAGTACATGGGGTAACTTTAACTTAAAATGTATTATTATCCCATATATGTATGTATCTGAACACCTCGATTTATTTCAGGTTACTGGCTAATAATAATTATTCTGTTCATTGCCATTATTGTAGTAGCACTACTTTAATGTGACCCAATCTGTCCAATCGAAAAATGTGTAATCAAATGATAAGTTGTTACTAGTGCTCATATTGTTTGTATAACCTAATAACGTATGGCCCATGCGCCAGCAGAAAGTGTGTAATTAAATTTTGTAAATAGCTTTGATGAAACAAAAAATTGAGGATTATTTTTACTGCGCCATGTGTAAATGCTTTATATATTATGTGAAATAAAGATGTCACATCGACTGCGAAGCGATAGCTTTTGCGATAATCGGAGACATAAAAAAACTCGGTATAAAAAATAAAATATTTAACCAAACATATGTATTTAACAATTAAGTTTAAGCAAAAAACAAGTAAAATAAATAAAAAAACACAACAGACTTTAATTCTCGTATAAAAATTTAAGATAATCGTTAACTTTTTTTTTAACATGGGACCACCTGTGAGGTAATACCTTTCCTTGAAAAAAAAGAATTATCGAAATCGGTTGACGTGGTCCAAAGTTATGCGGTAACATACATATACAAACAAAATATTCCGACGAATTGATAACCTTTCTCCTTTTGTGAAGTCCGTTAAAAAGGGCTCATTTTCAATAAGATCAAAGGGATTTTTATTTACCATCTAAATCTTTTGGTTTTTAATTTTAACATATCATTATTTCAGGTAATTATGCATTTAAGACAGATCTGACGCATATGGTACGTTGGCTAGATTGCCTACAGCTCCTACGGACAATTTCGACGAACCCGCTTTCTTGGCAGCCTAGGCAAAGGAAAATTTATTATCATTCCATATAAAACACAGTTTTATATGATTTTACCTGCTGGACATCCTGTTGAGTCACACCATCTACAGCCGACAACAACGCTTCAATGTTGTGCACCTGTTTAGTATGAACAGCTTGAACACTGATTTCATTGATCAAAGAGCTGTCTGTAGCATAGCTCTCCAACAACGCAGCCTTTAGAAGAGCCTTTCCACGGTTTACATCATTAGACGATACTGAGCCCGACTTCAAAGCGCGTGTCAAAGCATCCACCGCCTGATAAAAACAATTTACATGTAGAGCATTCCAACGAATTTCGATATAAAAATTTACCTTGCCAATGTGTTGAACATCAGTAGAAACTAGAAAGCCGAACAAACCAGCATCAGCATAGGATGCATTAAGTGGTGCATACGAAATAGAAGCATCGGTTACGGCTCCTTGTATAGCTTTGCCGAAGGGACCATTTACGTTGCCTCGTTTGGTAGCAGCTCCAGCACCTACAGCGTGCTTTAAAACAGCAAATGCTAAAGCCTCTTTTTGGTTCAACAATGAGGCACCTTGACCAGCAACTGCGACATGGGAAATAACGCCGGCTGTATCCTTGCGAGCGTCACCGCCATAATAGCTGGCAGAGTCCGATTTTCCAGATCCCGAGGACAATTCAAGATTTTGTGCAAAACCGGACAGAGTGTTGTGGTCAATGCCAACACCAACAACGGCGCAACGGCTGGGTATAAAGTTATTATTCACATAGTGCAACAGTGATTCGCTCGACAATTTTCCAATTTGGAATTTTGGTATATGGATCGAATTGCCCAAACCCGAACGAAAAGCTGCTTTGTGCAACAATTCTACAGCGCGTTCCTTTCAAATATTTATGAAGTTGAAATTCATTTTGCTCTGCGAGTAAAATTCATTAACTACCTGGGGGGTTACAGATGCAATTTGGCTTTTAACTTGGGACACGATGTCAGACAGTTCCCAAGGCTTAAAAGCTGGCTGAACAAGATCCTGCAAGAAGCGCAATCCTGTCTCGATTTGATTGGAAGTAGTTTCAACAGTGTATGTAACTAGTTCCCGATCGGATGTTGCACTTAAGCTACCACCTACTTGTTGGATGTTACGAGTTATAGCAAAAGCAGTAGTATTTTTTGTAGATAAGCCAGAAGCAATACGTAGCAAATGCGCTGATCCTTGATTTTCATAGCTCTCATTACGCGATCCAGCACTGAAAGAAAGATGCAGATAATGTCATATATATGAAAATATTTGAATCTGCTAAGTTCACTTACCGGAAGACAATGGACACACGCGTAATAGGCAGAGAGGCTTCGGCAGTGGCAACCACTAATTTGTTATTTAACACAGTAGTTTTCACTTCAGCTGCCTGACCCAATGGTCGAGGACATTGGTTTGTGGCCAAACCGCGCTTCTGTAAATAGTTAAAAGATGATTATTCATGTATTATCATATGTAGTGACAGATATGCAATTTGCAGTTTTACGTAACCACGGTTATAGAATTTTGGGTTACCCAAGAGTTGTTCGATTTTTTCCAACTAAAAACTTACTGCAATTGTACGAAGGAATGGGACTTTGTTTGCGTTGCATGCCATGTTTTAAATATATTCGTTTAATGCTTATTGCAAAGGAAATAATCCAAAATTTTTAATTGAAGAAAATTTCTCGCTTGGCCTAATCCTCACACTACACTTGACAGCTCAGAAGTGCTGCCAAGCAGTGGATAAT